TATATATATATATATATATATATATATATATATATATATATATATATATATATATATATATATATATATATATATATATATGTATATATATATATATATATATATATATATATATATATATATATATATATATATATATATATATATATATATATATATATATATATATATGCACACACACACACACACACACACGAGAGTATCTGCATTATGTCACAACGTGCCCGAGTGGTTGCGTTCTTATATACGTGCGCGCCTCTGCCTTTGTGTGAGGACTTCACATAAAAGCTTTTCTCGATGAATTTCTTCCGCCTCCGCCCCTCGGTGCTCATTCCTCGGGTGCTCATTAATAGTGATAAAGCAGCCACGCCAACTCACGTTTCATGCACTGTGACTATTGCCATCGTGCACGTGTGTTTCATTCATAAATTTCACTCTGAACGTAACTTGTTAAACTGTTTGCAGCCATTAGTAATGAATAAATGTGACGTGTATGATATATTTTGTAATACAGTTGATGATGTTAACAAGAACTCATCATGAGAGCTGATGTAATGAGAATAATCTGTAATATATAAGAATGGTGATGGATAGTAATAATTATAGTCTGTGGTCATAGTAATAGCGTAAATAGATAGTAATAGTATAGATAAAACTTAATAAGAACGATATCACTTATGATGATAACAATAATAATGATAATAATAACAAGAATATCACTAATAACTACAATAATAACAATAGTAAAAGTAATAATGATAATAGTAGTAGAAGCAGTAGTTTTAGTAGTAGTAGTACTAGTACTACTACTACTAATATTCTGTTATAATAGTAATATCAAAAGTTGACAGTTTTAACACTGATAGTAGGCCATATAAAAACAATGCAGTATTCTGTGTAACAGCTGTATAGCCAAATCTCTTTATTTGATGTTCGATATCATATGAATATTCAAAATTTAAAAAGACAAGCCCAGACTTCTCCACTACTGTAATTTCGTTTTTGAAAGAAAAGATAGAGAGAAAAAAATGACTTAGTTGTAAAATATCTTAACTTAACTTAACTCAACGTTCGTTCTAGTCATACAATTGTTCAATTATCTTAAAGAACCTAATCTGGTAATGACAACAACAACAAACGGCAAGTAGAGAGTATTAGTATTAGTATTAGTATTAATATTGTAAAGGTCCTGGGAGAGGTAAAGCTATAACAGGAACAATAATAGACGCAGTAATAATAATGACAGAGGCAGAGAGGGATAATATTTATAGCACATATAGTAATAAAAGCGGTGTGTACGGCTAACGATAATATAGCTAAGCAATTTATTAGCATTCTTACTACGAATAATAGAAGCGATAATAGCAGTAGCAATGATGATAATAGTAATAATAATAATGATAATAATAATAACGATAGTAATAACGTAAATGATAATAACGATAGTACTAATGAAAATAATAATAATAATAATAATAATAATAATAATAATAATAATGATAATAATAATAATAATGATGATAATACTAATACTAATAATAAAAATGGTAATAATGATAATAGTATCAATAATAATAATAATGATAAAAAAAAAATAAATTAATAATAATAACAATAATAATGATAGTAATAATAATAATAATAATAATAATAATAATAATAATAATAATAATAATAATAATAATAATAATAATAATAATAATAATAATAACAAATTAATAATAATAACAATAATAATGATAATAAATATAATAATAATAATAATAACAATAATAGCCTCTATTAAAATGCATTACGCCGATGAAAATCTCTGCTACAAATAATATAAATTCTTTCTACGGACTCGCCTCCCGCTACAAAATGGAGCGGCCAAGAATTCGAACTCAGAAGCCCCCACGGTGAGGGATTAAGAATAACAGAAAATATTCCCTACTGCCCAAGGAATTCGGAATTTCTTTTGTGGCTCCAAGCCCGCCGGGAAGGAATCTTTTTTTTTTTTTTTCAGACAAATTAAAATCAGATCTGACGGAGAGCATCGAGTCCTGAAGGCAGGCGGGGTTCGCTCGCCTCTCCGGCCTTGAGTTTTGGAACAAAGGTGGACGGATTCTCATTGGCATCTTTAGTCTTCGAAAAAGGGGTTTAATCATTGCTGTTATTACTAATTCTACTGTTATTATTGTTATTATTTCTATAATTATATTAGATTTTTATTATTATATTATATCTTTATTATCATATTTATTTTCGAGCCATTATTATCTTTATGATTATAATCATCATCATCATCATCATCATCATCTTTATTATTATAATTATCATTTCTATTATTGTTTTGTTATTGTAATTGTCATTATTATAGTTATTATTATTATTATTATTATTATTATTATCATTATTATTATTATTATCATTATTATTATTATTATTATTATTGTTATTATTATTATTATTATTATTATTATTATTATTATTATTATTATTATTATTATTATTGTTATTA